TGTCATTTCTATCACATTCTGTTTATGAAAATAATTGTTAGCCTACCTCTATTCAAGAGCAGAGGGATTAGGATGAAGAGGAGAGACAACATTTATTATAAGAAGAACATGTGAAATAGGGGTTATTGCTGTGGCCGTCTTTGGAAGATAAAATTTGCCCAAGGTTATATAGGGAGAACCATAGAAGAAATTTAAAACTCTATTACATGGCATTTTTGAAGGTATTGTTTTTCACCAAAATATTCAAGAATATGCATTTTTAAAATATACTGTTTACTTTTTTCCCTTTAGAAAATAATTTATATTCAATACAGCATGGGGATTAAGACCTCAGGTTCTCAATTCCATGGACAGTTTAAAACAGTCATTCTTGGACCACTTGCTATCTAGTTGACCTTGGACAAGATACTCTCTTTTCTCTGGACCTCAGTTTCCTTACCTGTGATTGGCATTGATAATAATCATAATAAGTAGAGTTTTTCAAAGCATTAAATGTGATCATGCATGTGAAGTTACATATAAATTGTTCAATAATTTTATGTATTATACTCTCTTATATTTGGAAATTTTGGATATGGAAAATGGAGAACATAAAAATAACCAAAAACAGTACCCTCCAGAGCAATATCTTGTGACTAAATTACTAGGTTAGCATGATGTAAATATGAAGAAAGTTAATGTATTTTATTTTACTTATAGGTTTCAGAGTCATTTTATTAATAGACCAATTTTTTTGCAATCAATTTCTATACATATTGATTGACCACCCCTCATACATGCACACACCATGTACAAACATACATACAAACACACAAACACCTGTAATGTAAAACATAAAAAAGAAATGGATTTGCACCAGCCACAGTAGTTTGGCCTTGTTCCAAAAGAGTAGTAAGAAAACATATTTAAAGTCAATGGGAATTAAATGTAGACACACCCTAGGCTAAATAAAATACAAAAATGAATTCTTCTCAAGGTGCAATTCATTCAAATAGAGGATTTGAAATTTGATCAAACTCCAATGCAAAGGCATATAATGCTTGAATGACATTAATTAGTTGAATATTGAGCCCAGGAGCAAGTGAGGCTCATCCACTGAATATGTACATAAGATTTTCCTATCAAGGAGAACCACAGAAAAATATCTACAGCGGTTTTCTCTTCTTATTTACATTCAGGTACCTATTAACATTTTCCTAAGAAAAAACTTCATGCAAATATAAGCCTTTCAACCTAATAGCAAACTGATCATAAAAGTGAGCACTCTTCTCTTGTGAGCAAATGCCTTTAAAAAGCATTCGAACCATGAAAGAATTTAAGAGACTATGATTTTTAACCAGACAATATTTTAAGACATCAATTAAAAAGCATCTCAAATATCCCATTATAATCTTAATTCCAGAGAACTTTACAGTCTCTAGCTTAACATCACTATTTTACAAACACTAAATTCACAATTCTTAAGCTTTCACCAATTCTTTTATTGGCTTTGTTTAGTGTCAACATTTTTTCTTTTTCCTGTTCATATAATTTGGAATCATAGAATTTTACTCTAATTTCCATCTCTTTTTCCCAAAATGAATATCAGGAAACTAATTGGATGGCCAATCTAACAGTTTTGATAACAAACACAAGTCTCTTAGGCATTTAAAATTAAAACCATTCCAGGCCGGGCGTGGTGGCTCACGCCTGTAATCCTAGCACTTTGGGAGGCCGAGGCGGGCGGATTGCTCAAGGTCAGGAGTTGGAAACCAGCCTGAGCAAGACCCCGTCTCTACCAAAAATAGAAATAAATTAATTGACCAACTAAAATATATATACAAAAAATTAACTGGGCATGGTGGCGCATGCCTGTAGTCCCAGCTACTCGGGAGGCTGAGGCAGGAGGATTGCTTGAGCCTAGGAGTTTGAGGTTGCTGTGAGCCAGGCTGACGCCATGGCACTCACTCTAGCCTGGGCAACAAAGTGAGACTCTGTCTCAAAAAAAAAAAAAAAAAAAAACCATTCCAAATTCATCTTGGTCACTCCAATTTAAAAACAAATCCTTATCAGTTTCAAAATTTTGGGATATAATGATATTTTTCTACACAAATCGTGTATTTACTTTGAAATTCAATGACAGTTATCCACAGTAAGTTATATTATTATTGCTACTTTCTTACATAAGTTATGCTCCATCACTTAACAAATGCATCCTTTTTTGAGCTTCAGAAATCTTTCACAGACAAATCAGCAAAAGGCCAGGAAAGAATCAGTAGAGCAGTGTGAGCTACGAAATAAACTGGCAATTCAAAGATCATGACCTCTAATACCTTTTTGACTATTAACTTATCATCTGACCTTCTGGTAGTCATTTACCTTCACATAGCCTTCTTTCTGAAGTTTGTAAAAATGGGAATGACAACACTCTGGTTACAGCTCAAGGGGATTAAGTAGAAAAAACTGGTACAGGGGCTGTAAAATACCTTGCAGGCCATAAAATACCACATAAATGCTTGATAGTAAAACAGCTACATAGCTCCATGGTTTAATATAAAACTAGTTTTCCTGCTAAATGGAGTACTAGCAGAAGAAACTAAGATCAAACAGGAAAAGATACAAAACTTGTGGTCATAATTAAAAGGGTTGATTGGTTTGAATTGATTTTATGGACTGATGGGTAGATGTCTGCACAGACTATGTGATCAAATGTATAGAGTAATCTGGTCATCACATGCTACTCTAGAAAGACAGTCTAATCAAGCAGGCTGAAGTTGGAAGTGGGAAGGCATAACATTATACAGTCCCATGGGTGTGATCCTCTTTAAATGAGTTTGCGTATTTGTGCACATTTTGTCTAATGGCACTGTTTTATGGTAAACAGCCAGAAATAGAGGAAATATCTTTTGACATATTTTTTTACCTACCCTATTTGGATATATTCATCAAGTCTTTTTCCTTTGAAATTTCTAATTTCATTTACTTAAAACTAACATTAATTATTTCAAAGAAACTTTCCCCGGATTATTATTTTACTTAGGGATTTAATCGCAACCAGATATTGCCTAACATAATCCATATTACATGCAGAAATACCTTAATCATTTTCTGGTTCTTCCTTACTCTTCCTCAGAAGAGAAATAAAAATAGAGGATAAATCTCACCTTGTAACCTCTCACAAAAAAGCTGCCTATTGTTCTTGGCCTCAGAATCACTTGGCAACTTACTACTTAATACTTTTTACTAAAAGGTATAAGCCACCTAAAGACTAATGTCCAATCCTAAATCAGAAGAGAGAAGACACATTGATTCAGCCAGCGTATTAAGAAATTTTAATATGTATTAAGTAGTACTTATTAAGCAATGTAGAGTGTTTTTACTACAACTAATAAACCAGAGTCATCATTAGATTAAGACATAAAAGACCACACTACAACTTTTCCATTATTAGCTATAAATCCCTAACCAATTACTAAAATTTTTTAATCAACCAGTTTCTTCATTCATTTATTCAAAGAGATTCATTGGCATTTTCTTCTTGTTAGGCATTCCTAGGTACTGGAGATTCAGTGAGAAACAAGGACAAAACTCCCTGTTCTCATGAAGGTCATATTCAAGTATACATTGAAAATAAATTTCCTTGCCCATCTCAAATTGCCACAATACTATACATTTGATAACTTATGCAAAAATGCTTTGTAAACTATTAGGTGTCCCATGGATATGTCATGCTTATGATTGTAGTGATTATATTATTACTAACATTACTAAGTGTTAGATATGAAGCCAGGTTTTGTGAGTGATGAACAGAAGATTTCAGACACAAGGGTGGAGGTAGGGGAAAAAGAAGGTGTTTAAACATGGAACAAGTGAAGGATAGACCTTGTGACATTACTGGGTTTTCTGGGAGCAACTAATATTAAATAATTTTCTTTTCTCTAGTGTGTAAAATGCTAGGAATCTGAAGTAGTGGGAAATCACTTTGAAGAGGAAATCAGTACCTTTGCACGGAGGACTGTGTACTGTTACAAAGGAGTGTGTGCTTCATGAGGTCGTTGACAGGGGCCACTCAGAAATTTTAACAGCAGAGTGACATGGTTTGCTTTATAGTTCAGGTAAATCACAGTGGTAGAAAGAACATCACACTGAGGGAGATGAGACAAGAATTAGAGAAAACAGCTTTGGGGACACCAAGATAGAAGGGTAAAGCAATGAGAATCTGAACTGTGGAATGTTGCATGTAGAGAGAAGAGCGAGGGCTCGAAACATACATGGAAGGTAAGATAATTAGGACTTGGTGGTGTGAGACCAAGACTCATCAGAGAAATTAGGGATAAAGGCAAAGAATTGGGTGCCATCAGCAATAAGGTATTAATTGAAACCTTAACAGTGAATGGGATTCTCCAGGGCAGGCACGGAGGTTAGCAGGAGTCTCAAAAATGAAATGTTGTGTGACAAGCATGATTTGAACTATCACGTATTAGTTTAGTCTCCCCTTGTTCAGGAGGTGAAGCTATCCATTTAACTATCACCTTCCTTCCCACTCAGTGCAATTCTCTCTGCTTTGGAGAAGAGAGTGGGCTTATGAGGATCTAAAAAAGTGCTGCTGGAAGGGACAGTGAGGAGGAGTCTGAACTCCCCTCTACATTGTGTACGTGATTATGCCTTTCCCTCCTCTCTCTTCTTTTCCCTCTTCCCCTGTCTGAAGTTGCAGAAAACACCGCCTAAATCATGTACATCACCCATAATAAGGTTCACAGCCGACACTCTTATCACAAAAGATAGGTTAACAAGAGAAAATCATAATAAATTTATTTAACCAAAGATTTACATAACACGAGAGCCTTCAGAAATGAAGACGCAAAGAACTAGGGAAAATTGTCTTTTATTTTATGGATGGTCATGTAGAAATGTGATTGGACAAAAGGGTATGATTTAATGGTAACAGACTGAGAGGGGAAACTCAGTAAGACTTCTCTGTTCTATATTCTTGACCTCTCTGTTAACATTCTTTCTTCTAGGCTATGAGGCAGGACCCGCTGGAGTGAGGGTCTTCCAGGGACAAGGAAAAGAGTGGCCTTTCTAGGTTTTATGCCTTGCTCTCATGGAAAGGCATTCTAGTTTCCATGATCCATCTTGAGGAAGAAGAATTCTGGTCTCTGTGACTCACTTTAGGGAAGAAAAGAAGATGGAAGACAGAAAGATGGCAGAAAGTCAGAAAGAGCTTGATTCTGAGGCCCTGCCAGCTTCCTTCAGCTTGAAGCACTCAGCACACCAAGGCTTCACACTTTAGGGTATTGTTGGGTTTTTATGTTTTGATTTGTTTTGTTTTTGCCTTAGTGTCTCTTTTGTCAGTAGAGAAAGGAAGGAGAAAAACATAAATGAAAATATACAAATATAATCTCTGCACACAGTCTTAGATAAAAAGGAAAATTAACCATTTATTTATTCATTCATCCTTGCATTCATTAAACAAATATGTATTGAGAACCTACCTTGAGTTAAGTGCTCAGCACAGAAAGGAATAAAACCTAATCCTGGCCCTTGAAGAATGTATAGCCTAGAAGAGAGGCATTCCTGTTAGATTGCTCTTCTAAATACTTTAAATTTGAAAGATAAAAGAATCTGCAGACTTTGGTAACCGAAATACTAGAAAAGAAAGTTCTGCTTTTAAATAATTTTGCCTATATTTATTTTAATTATAAAATATATTGAGATAATATATTCAATGTGACTGAAAGAAATTGCTGTGTAAGTAGCAATAATGTCTAACATTGGCTGGTTGACTGGACTAGATGACCTTCAAACTTCTCTGTTCTAATCAACTAAACTCTTAGCCAAATACCCTATAACAAAGCCACCCAGCCCATTTCCAAAAATTGAAATATTTTCCTTCACTTTAATTGAAAAGTACACATTCTGTGCTTTTTCAAAATAATTTTGAATCAAATAATCCATTACTATTGCCTCTCTCTCTATGTAGATACATATATATATATATATTTTTAATTTCAAGCTTTAATTATTTTATTCATGAACACTTCTTCCAGCCTTCTAGATTAGTGGTTTCAAATTCTACCTTTAAATAAAAGCATCTCTTTCCCTTCTGTCCTCTAGCATCTCTTAAAAAGAAGTCAGTTTAAAGTCTCATGATATTTAATTTCTCATTAATTTTCAATTTCTTAATGTGAGTGTGTTATGTGTATGATATTCAAACTCACAGTATTCAACTGAACTTTTAATAAATCCTTTTAAGTAGTCACACTTAAAAAAATAATCATAGGCTTTAGAAACACGTCTGCATAGTCATTTACATATCATTTAATCATTGTTTTCAGTTTTCTGGGATTTTTCCACCCTTTTCATCTTTATGTCCTTCTCCTTTGAACTAGTCATGAAATTTTATCACCTGGAGATAAAGCAATTTAAAGGTTTTTTCCCCAATTTGCTCTTTTCTATATTCATAAATTTGCCATATTCTAGAAATCCATAGTATTGTACCAAACATTCAGGCTAAACAATTTTTTGTCAGCAAAACTGAACATTTACCAATTTCAAAATAGTGGAACTGACCCATTGTTTGCCATATGATCAGGAAAGAGCAGGTGCAAGTGAAATATTTTATGTGCAAAGAAACACAAGGGCATATCAAGGTGCAATAAGTCCATGTATAATTCTGCATAGACACGTGCATTCACAGGCCTTTTCTTTAGCCAAAACATCATTAAAGAAAATTAAAAAACAAACAAAATGCTGGTCAACTCTAGTACTTTGAATAATATAAACACAAACAAGAAAGCAACATTTAAAAACAAGCATCATTTTTATCTGCCATTGTTGAAATTGTCTGAGTTCTGAAAGCTGAAAATCAACATCAATATTAAAAGAATACTGTAAACAAAGGATAAATGTCAACCTTAAACCATTTCTTTTTTTTTATGTTTTTCTTTTGCAATTGTAAATTTTGTTACTACAAAAGCAGACTATTCATTGCAATTGTGAGGCCATTTTCATCTGAACAATCAACAGTAATGATGTGTTCTGAATAACACAGTTGAAAATTGATTTGGTATAAATTCTTAGCAAAATATTTTTGCTATATTCCATACTTCAAAGAGACTGACCTGTAATACAAAGATTATGCTACTTTTTTGAAAACTCTCTTCAAGGGTGGAGGCCATTTTAGCATCATCATACTTATCCTTTATAAATCTGTGCAAAACACAACCCCTCCTTTGTGGAAAATATGGTATTAGCATTTTCTAAATAATACTGTCTTTCAATGCATCATATCAGAAAAAATTGGTCCCTCAAAAAGGGGCATATTCCTGTATATAGTGCCCAAATGGAAGTGCATGCCAAATTATGTCTGAAGTTTTTGTGAGAAAATATCTCCCAAATAGTAGTTTCAAAACAGTAGAAAGACTCTGCACTGGGTGTCAGGATATCGACTTTTAGTTTCAGCTTTACAATTGTCTAGTTGTGTGACTTTTAATATGTCAAATCCTTCCTGAATTTCTTTCTTCATTTGATTGAAAGGGACTAGCCCAGTGGTTCTCAAACCTAGCTGGACTTTAAAATCACCCCATACGTTTTTAAAATATGTAGATGTCACCAATCTTCCCCAGAAAAGTTAGATCAGAATTTCCAAAGGTGGGTCTGAGGCATCAGTATTTTCTTAAGCTCCCCCATGTGATTGTAATATGTATCATACAATCACTTCCAACTCTAAAATGCTCTGACATCTTTAAAAACTTGCAGTTTGAGAACCTCAGCATGTGTTTTAAATGCGTTCAGGGGAGAGAATTTCCAATGTAAGGTGTTGGTGTTTGTTCTATCAGTTGCATGCATAATGTAGCCTGACATGGAAAAAAAAATACCAAGAGAAAAAAATTAACAGGGAAGGTAGACAGGCCATGCAAACGAGAGCTCAATTACAGAAGAGCTGTCTCCAGGAGACCAGAGTCATGCTCTTTAACATTCTAAGTGATTGGTTTGTGCAGTGAACCAAATCTGAGCAGTTCCAATGTTTGAAAATGTAATGACTTAAATAGAAATACTAATATACCCTTCAAGGTCGTGAAACAGTTTCTTGGCCTTAGGAAACATGCAACTTCTGTGGGCTCATGTAGGTCAATTTGATGGACCCCTTATAACCTTAAGATGCAGCTTGGTCTTTACACTGCATTAAAATATGTTAATACCAGCTTCAAAATCAATTTGATTCATTTTTTAAAATCTGCATTTTTTTAAACTTCCTTTTCATTTGAAGAATTACCAAGAAGTTGTTTAAAATTACCATATTTTCTAACTGAATAAAATTAGGCAAAGGACTAAAGTACAAAAAGGTCATCAAAACAAGAGACTATAAAAGAAATCTGAGAATAGTTACACATTGCTAATGACAGCCTAAAATTTAATTTAAAGTGAGCCCTAAAAATGTGTAATGATTAAGAATTGGGTTTCAATCCTCAGACATAGATTTAAAGAATTTACTGAATTACCAAATTAGTGGACACGAGAGGGGAGAGAACAACACACTAGGAATTATCTCATCTAAAGTTGTTTTATCTTTTCACTTAGAAGGATAGGTTATTGAATTTTATGTACATAATCTAGTACATGAAATGTGGTCAACACTTCACCTTACACACAGTCTACAAAGGAAGATATAAATCAGAACTAAGTTCATTTTAATCTAATTCTTAGCAACTGCTTGCTAGGTTTTGGCCATATCCACAATTTCAGACCTAGCAACCCCTTTTTAAAAACAAATGTTATGTAGACCCCCTTACCATCCAAGTAATACAATCTATCCTCAACTACAATTTTTTAATATGCAATGATATATATATATATGTATATATATATATAATGGAAAAATATGTTAATTTACATTCATAACCACACTATCTTTTTACTTATATACTCTAATTATGAATAAGTTGGGACCACAGAAGAGTAAGATGAGAACTCATTCCATGCAAGAGAGTCAGGAAAAATGAAAGAGCAAAGGTAGAGATGAATTCTAAACTAATGTCTTATCTGTATAAAATAATATAAATAGGAAAAACTTTAATTCAAGTATAAATAACAAGATAAAGTAAATTCAATCTATTAATGGTGAGAAAAAAATGAAGATACATGAAATTCATGTGAATGAGTAGGGCCTATTTATAAATGTACTTCCAAAAATTAATATGCTATGGCATGGAACAGAGTACCAGTGAAATGCCACTAGAAATATGCTTTTTATCATAGAGTCAATCAAATGTCCAAGAATGCATTCAGTCTGTATTACTTAAAAGTCCTTGTAGACAGTATCATTCCTTAGGCAAAGAATAATAGAAGATAGACTGGAAAAATAAACAGTAATAAAAGAGGCTGTAGAGAAAAAGTAAGCTAAATCTTTCAGAACAATGTCATAGTATGACATAAAACAATTTCATAAATAACCTAAATAAGTTAATTAGATAATTTTCAGGACATAGATTTCTTAAACTGTTATAATTTTTTTTAAATACAAGATGACAATAATACAAACCAGTTTTAACTTTCAGTAGTATCACTTTATTAATTTCATAATATTTGGTAACAAGTATTTAAAAAGACTGTCAATTAGAAAGCATCTGCACAGCCAAGGAAATAATCAACACAGCAAATAGATAATCTATAGAATGGGAGAAAATATTTGCAAGCTGTACATCTAATAAAGGAGTAATAACCAGAATCTACAAAAATTTCAAGCAAATCAGCAAGAAAAAAAAAATCAAACCATTAAAAAGTGGACAAAAAACATGAATAGAAGCTTTTCAAAAGAAGATAGACAAATGGCCAATAAAAATATTTAAAAACACTTGTTATTAATTATCAGGGAAATGTAAATTAAAACCATAATGAGATATCCCTTACCTCAGTTACAATGGCTTCTATTAAAAAGTCCAAAAACAAAAGAGGCTGGCATGAATGCAGAGAGAAAGGAATGCTTATACACTGTTGGTGGGACTGCAAATTAGTACAACCTCTATGGAACATAGTATGGAGATTCCTCAAAGAACTAAAAGTAGACCTATTCCACTACTGAGTATTTACCCAAAGGAAAAAGGAATCAGTTTATCAAAAAGACACCTGCACTCAAATGTTTATTGTATCACGATTCACAATTCCAAAAATGTGGAATCAACCCAAATGCTCATTAATTTATGAGTGGATTAACAAAATGTGATATAGGTATACCATGGAATACTACATAGTCATAAAGAAGGATGACTTAAGGCCTTTTGCAAAAATATGG